CCCAGGCCCTGGCATCCAGTGAACAGTTTTCTGTTCCTATAGTTTTACCTTTGCAAGATTGTCATATAAGTGAAAACACCCACTATGTAGACTTTTGAGTCTGATTTCTTTCACTTAGCACAATGAATCTGAGATCCATCCAATTGTTGAGTGTAGCAATAACTTGTTTCTTCTTATTGCCGCGTAGTCACCCATTGTTTGGATGTACAACAGTTTGTCCATTCACCAGTTAGGAGACATTTGGATTGCTTCTAGTTTTTAGCAATTACAAATAAAACCACTGTAAATATTCCTGTATAAGTTTTGTATGAACATAGGTTTTCTTTTCACTTAGGTAAATATCTAGCAGTGGGATTGTTGGGTCATGTGGTAAGTATATGTTTAGTTTTGTAAAAAACTGTCAAACTTCTCCAAAGTGGCTGGTACCCACTTTGCATTCTCACCAGCAATGAAAGAGAGGTTCCAGTTGTTCCACATCCACTGCCACTTGACTTTCTTTTTTTCTAGCTACTCTAACATAGTCATGCATCACATAACGACATTTCGATCAATGATTGACTGCAGACACGACAGTGGTCCCATAAGAATAGTACCATATAGTCTGGGTGTGTAGTAGGCTATACCATCTAGGTTTGTGTAAGTACACTCTATGATGTTCGCACAATGACAAAATGGCCTAATGATGCATTTCTCAGAACATATCCCCGTCATTAAGTGACACATGACTATAACTATGTCATAATTTTTATTAGACCAATATTGAAGGTTTACATTTTAAAACAATGTAAATAGTATTCCTAGCTGAGTCATGTAGTGTACTACGATTACCCTTCTTTGTGTATAATTTTGGTTTTGCCTCTTTGTTTAAATTTTAGTTTTCTCTATCTATAATTAATTCATCCAAGCTCTCCGCCAAAAATATAAATCTCCTTGCAATACATTTAGACAAATTAGCTGATTTATCAGTATGATCATTTTCAAGGAGATATAGCTCATGGAGCCCTCCGTCCTCCTGTTTCCATCTGGATGGGATGCTCAGCTGTCCTGGGATCTCCCTTCACCGTTGTTCTGGGGACCACTTCACTTCTCTCATGTGTGGGAGCCCATGTTACTCTTTCATTTTGGTAGAGCATAACATCCAGTTGCTTCCTGAGGGCTAATCTTGAGATATTACATGTCTGAAAAGGTCTTAATTCATACTCAACTAAGAGTTTGGCTAGGTATAGAATTCTAGACTAGAAATAATTTTCTCACAGATTTTGAAGATCTTCATTGTCTTCTGGCTTTGAAGGTTGGTGTTGAAAAGTCTGGTGAAAGTTGAATTCCTGAAACAGACGTTTTTCTTTGCATCTCTGGAAGTTTTCAGGTTCTTCTTTGTCCTCAGTGTTCTGAAATTATTTATGCCATAGTCTGGGATGGGTCTCTTTCATCCATTTCCTGGACGGTTGGTGATTCCTTCTCATCTGGAAACTCATTTGCCCTCATCTTTGGGAAATCGTCTTGATAAAAAAGCAATGTTTTTATTTGGTGTCTCTCCCTGCCACTCCAGTCTCTGTTCCCTCTTTCAGAAAGATCTGTGATTTAGCTGCTGGGGCTCTTGATCTATCTCTGTTCTTTCTGGGAAATATATTTTCAACTTTTATCTTCTACACTTTGCTGAGATTTTTCATTCCCATTATCATATCACATTTTTGTTTTTCGCAAATTAGAGGTCGTTGTTTGAATATTTCTATATTAGAGCCTATTCTTGTTTTATGACTGCAAAGTTTTATCTTTCTAAAGACATCAATTACTGCTTGTTTGAAGTTTTCCTTAACTCTGGTAGTCTTAAGTGTCTGCAGATGCAGGCATTGATGGTGGGCTAGTGCGTAGCTGAGCCCTTAGATGTCACCTCAGCCTCCCCTCCCTCCTCTCTCTCCTTGTCATGCAGCCCATAGGGGAGACCTTAAGGCCAGTGTGGGGGCTGATGGATAAGTGCTACCCTGGGATCACTCAGGTGGGTACGGGCTGGGGTCCCCTCTTCCCCTGGAGTGGGGTGGGCTGTCCTGGGCACCCTTGGAAGGCACAGTGAGAGGACGGGCCAGGCACGGAAAGACTCCCACCCACTTGTAGCCATGTGTCACCTCTCCTGTTTCCCTCTGTAGAGACGCAGAGTTAAGAGCGGGAAGAAGCAAGCCTCTGAGGTAAGTGAGGCCTCCCCTGTAAGGGCCCAGGGCTGGGGCTGTCTCCTGTCAGAGCTCCATGAGACCCAGGGACACCTCAGCTCATGGCAGCGAGTCCCAGAGATAGTGGCAGCGCCCCCTCCAGGAAACTCGCAACTGTACCACAGCTGGAGCTGAGAAGGGAAGTACATCCCTGGAAAAGCAAAGAACTATACATAGTCCAAGTGCGGAGAACAAGGGGAGGGAGGAGGCATTCTGAGGGCCCTTCTGCCTATATTCTGCCCTCTTGTTCCTCCCTGCAGGCCATGACCCCCAAAGCAATGGGAAGACTGAATGATGCTGCCCCCAAGGAGGAGACTGACATCTTGTCTCAGGATGAGGGGGAGGTGAGGTCCCCAGGGGAGGAAGCAGCCAGCCCCATTCCTGCTGGGAAGGAGGTGGCTGAGGACGAAGAGGTGGCAGGGACCCCAAGCTGGGAGGTGAGGCAGCTTGGCGCCTCAACTGGAACATCCCCAGCATGGGTCCTAGTGAGAAGCCCGGGAGCAGTGCAGGGCAGGGAGGCCGTGGGGAAGGAGGTTGGGGGGGCACCCCCAAGACCACTGGCCCAAACTGCCATCTCATTGGAGCAAGGAGCTCTGTGTGGAGCTGAGAGGCAGTAAACATGGAGTGAGCAGAAAGTGGGTCTGAATCCTAGCCTCCTCTGATTTCTCGTGAAGTGAGGTCTCAGTTTCCCCATGAGCACAATGTAGAACCCGTCTCATCCCACCATTGTGCTCCTTCTTCCTTCCCAGGAAGGTAAAAATGTCCGAAAGGAGATTGCTGTACATCTTTCTGGTAAGACAGTGGACCCCATCCTGCTGTCGCAGGAGTGCCCCCTCGCTAATCTCAGTGACCCTGCAGAGGTCACAGATAGCCCAGCTCCTCTCAGAAGCTCCTGCCTCAGGGAGGGAAGGGAAGACCACTGGTGGCCAAATGCCCTGACCCTCCTGAATGAGCATCCCCTGCCTCCTGCTTCCTTCCTGGTTGGCAGGAACTTGAGACCACTCCCCTTGGACTGGAGGAATACCTAGTCTTTTATCAATGCTGACCTGCTCCCCTGGCATCAGGGGTCCCCTGGACCTGGGGAAAGGTCCTCCCAGCAGGGGACCCACAGGCCATGCCTGCTTGTGCTTTGCAGAGGCCTCTGAGGTGAAGAGCAAGGAGGAAAGACCCAGGGGCTGGGTCCCCCAGCTCCTGAGGAAGCTGTAGCTGGGCTGGTTCCAAGCCTCTGACATCTCCAAGACTCTGAACCACAAATGACAAAGTATCAATAAATCCACAGAGTTGCTGCTTCTGCAGCCCCACCTGCCTCCTCTCAGGGCCCTCACATCTTCACAAACACAGTGTGGCCCCATCCACACTCTCTGTCTTGACAAGCTAGAGGATCACCCCCCTCCTGCCACCGAGCCCTGACTTGACAGTGGATACTTCGGAGAGGCTGAAGGGGGCCCTGGCTGGCTTTCTGACTCAGTGCCCAGGAACAGACCAAGTTCTCTGAGTTCTGAGAGCTGGGAGCTCCCTGTCATGAGGGCACCTGGAAGACACTGATGGAACCCCTGTCAGGGATGATGTTGGGTGCAGCTCCTCTTGAAAAATAGGCCTGGAGAAGCTGCTTCCACCCTGAGCGTCGGTGGTCCCTAAGCTGTTACCTAAATGCACCAGGGGTTCTGCCCATGGCTCGGGTAAGCAACAGTCATTAAAAACCCTTGGGCACTGCCTGTGTGCTCAGTCCAGAGATAGTCAATTGTGGGGGTGGGGACAGGCGGAGGATGGCAGTCCCTGCCGTCAGCCCGGGCTCCAGGCTAACAAGGTCACAGCCACAGAGTCAGAGCAGGAAGACAGGACCCAGCGGCCATCTGGTATACCATCTCTCTGGCTGAACGGAAAACAGAGGCCCAGGGCAGGGAGAGACTGGCACAGGGTCATGGACTGGAATGGCAGAGCAAGGACAAGAGCCATAGTGTGCTCCTCCAAGGTCCCCACGTGACCTCCTTCTCCTCTGGTCATCCCACTGTCACAGGGGTCCAAGGCTCACCCCTGTCCCTGGGGCATGCCGACAACCCACAAGGCTCATTTCCTGCCCATGGCCCAGCCTCCTGAGAGCCAGGCCTGACCCAGCCACTCTGAGGACCGTGCCCTGGGTCAGAGCCTAGAGAAGTGTCCTCCTCCACCTCCAGCCTTGCTGTGAGCAACTCCTACTGGGCAGGGGCCTGGACATGGGCGTCCCTGAGGGGCTGGGACTTGGAGTGACTGAGAGGTTCAGGGAGGTGCTCACTCATGGACTGCCATCAGGCTTCCCTGGGAGGGCGCTGGCACCTGAGGAGTAAGCCTGGGTGTTCACCTGGCACATCCCTTCCCAGTGGCCTGAGTTCCCCACCTATTGGGGTGTCGTAGATGAAGTGAGGCAGCAGACTAGATGGTGCTAACTGAGCTGCTGGCACATGGTGTGCATTGGGTATGACTGGGCCTGAACTGTGGGTATCCAGACTGAGTGGGGGCCCTTCCCATGCCCACCAGGGCCTCAATGATGTGTCTCAGAAGCCTATTCTAGCTCCTCCCAGCAGGAGCCAGGACCTATGTATAGATTTTGTCACTAATTTGAGTAGCTAGTGTTGAGTGTCCATTGGTGACTAGGGGTAAGCTGTCACCTTGTGAGCCTCAATATGCCCATCTCTCAAATGGGTTCAAATGCCAGGTAAGGTTGGATCAGGGAGGGGTAAGAGCTGGCCTTGGGGAGTCTATTGAAGCCACATCCCTGCCAGGAGCATGTCAGGGGGCCTGGGTGGGACTCAAACCAGGTTGGAGCCATCATACTGGTTTATTGGACATCAGGGCCCTGGCCGAGGAGGGGGTTGGGGCTTGGTGTCCCCCTCTAGCGGGGCACAGCACAGAGCTGGTAGGGGGACGGGGTCACCAGGAAGCCAAAGACACCATAGTCGCTGGGGCGGGGCTGCCCAGCGGGCACCGAGAAGCTGAAGCGCTGCAGGAGGCAGGTGAAGAAGAGGAAGAGCTCCATGCGGGCCAGGGGCTCCCCGAGGCACGAGCGGCGGCCTGTGGGTGGGTATGGGGGGCCAGTGAGGCTGGGGGCCTGGGCACCAAGACTCCCTCAGGAGGGGGCAGCGAGCCAGGCTCCCCACAGGCACCTGCTGAGAAGGGCATGAAGGCCTCCTGCTTTGACGAAGTGGCCCTGGGCGTCCAGGAAGTGCTCGCCCCCTGCCCTATACTCTGGCAGTCCCGCCCCCTCTGGTGACGGCGCCGCACCCGCTCCCACTGCACAAACCACATCGCTCCCACCCCCCCCAATCCCGCCCACTTTACACCCGCTTCCGGCTGGGGTCAGGTACAACCCTTTTTCCGCCCACACGGCTCGAGGGGTCTACTCACAGCCGGCAGCTCTTGGCCCCAGTCTTGGCTCTCCCCATCGTGACTCCCTTCCAGTTCAGGGAAGGTCTCGGCCCACCTCCTGCCCCGCCCACACTGACTCCGTCCTCTTCGTTCCTGCCTCTCCGACATCCCCTTTTTACTCTCAGCCGCCCGAGGCCCGCCCACCCCCTGTAAGGCCCCGCCCACTCTCTGTAATGCCCCGCCCTTCGCCCCGCCCATGCCAACCTCCCCACCTTTGGCAAAGGCTCCTTCCTCCACCTGCCGCCCTTTCACATTTGCTGACTCTTTCTTGGGCCAGAAGACCACCACCCTGCCTCCGCTTGACCCTGCCGGATCTCGGGTCCCTGAGGGCCGAGTCCCCGCCGGGGTGTGGTCCCTTCCTCCTCCGCTTACCCTCGGAGCGCGGCCTGAATCCCAGGTGATTGAAGATGGGTGCAGGTGCGCGGTCGGAGGTGTCCTCGCTGCGGTACGCCAGAGCCTCGCGCATGACCGCCAGCCCGTTCAGCACTACCACCGGCTTCCAGGCCAGCTGCAGGCTGAACACGTCGCCGAAGTGGTGCCGCAGCTGCAGACCGACGGTCAAGGGCGATGGTTAAGTCTGGCCCCCGGCCACGTTGCTGGCCCCTGCCTCCTGGCACTAGCCTTGTGGGACCCCTTAGCCGCCGGCAGCGAGCAGGTGCAAGGACTTTATCTGGCTTCGTTACACCAGGGGTCACAACATCTATGGTTGACGACCTCACGTTGGATCAGACCATCCCAGCTATTACTTTGCAGAAGTCATCAACATTGTCAGAAGACCAGGTTAGCATCCTGTTTTACAGGTAAGGATACAGAGGTTCATAGACGTGAGCAGTGAGGCCCAAGGTCTCACAGCAGCAACAGTTTGAACCTGGTCACTGTCCCTCTCAACCTCAATTTCCTGATGTAAATGGGTCTCATGTCCAGACTCCTCTGCCCCAATCTCAAGACCTTTCCTCCTGGTGTCATCAGAAGGGACTCAGGCTCACATAACTTAAGCTCTGTCCCACTGGATCCCAAACCCGCTGCCAAGTTTCACCTCCCTCCAGGCCTTTTCCCTCTCTGACCTTTGATTGGAAAATTCAAACTGCCCTCCAGACCCTGCACATATGCCCTCCCCCAGGAGGCCTCTCAAACCTGCCTCCTCCTTTCCCCCCAGCTCCTTGTCCAGCCTGTGGCTTCACCCAGCACCCACTATCTGCTGCTCAGTGGTGTCCCCAGGACCTCTGTGCCCACCCCCACGTTCCTCACCTGAGTAAAGCAGCAAACTGTGTCCTGGAAGTCCACCTGCAGCAGGTTGCCCAGCCCAGGCAGGGGCATGGGGCCTGGTGGGTAGCGTGGGGCCCAGCACTGGCGCCGGTGCATCAGGTCCACCAGGAGCAGGAAGATGGCCATGGCCACGGCCAGGGATCCCAGTGTCTCCCCGGTCAGCAGCCCCATGGCTGCTTCGTGGGCACTGGGCTCCTCTGAGTGCACTGACACCCCTCACCACACCAGGCGCCTAGGACCAGGCCAGGCAGGGCACACTCACCAACCCTGAGGGCTAGACCAGCCTGGACCCTCTTTATAAAGGGAGCTGAGACTGGCCTTTCCTCTCTGCCCTGAGCCTACATGTTGGCATGACTTAGCTGCTAGAGGGTGCAGGGAAGGGCAAGGGAAGGTCAGTGCAGGGCTGGCCTCTCCAGGTACTTAACAAGGGTAGGGGGAGAAAAGGGAAGGCCCTACCGCCAGCCTGGCTCCCCAGCATTGCACAGGCTCCGAGGAAGAACCAGGGGTCTTTGGACTTGATCCTGCCACCCAGCTGCCACATTAGCCTCGCATTTCCTAATGCAGTCACAGCCTCATCCCCAGAACACATTCTCGCCTTCCCATATCTCATCTGCCTCCTCCTGAGTGACCTTCACCTCCCAGGTTTGTACTGGCACTCTCAGGGAGGTCACAATGATCAGAGGGATCACAGGTGGGGGGTGGGGGCATAGAGTTCTCTGTATCTGTCACTTCACACTAGTACACTCAATACACACAGACACAGATCACACACTCACAAACCACTCACATATTCAGATGCTACTCACATGCTAACATATTGACACACAGCACATGCACACACAGATTTACACACCCACAAAACTGTATACACACACATTAATACATGCACCACTTACACACACACACACGCAGACCCAGCACCAGGGCAACTGTTCTCAGTGGCTGCCTCTACTCAACTCCTCTTCTCCCAGCTGGGAGGCTGCTGGCAGTGATGCTGAGGACCCTCACCTGGCTGGCTGCTGGCTCAGCTTCCATGGTTTCCACCTGGTCATGGCCATTGCACTTTTGGATCTGGGGGTGGAGAGGAAGCAGCGCTGTTTTCAGAGCTCCCTAGTCACACAACCAGCCAGTTCAAAGACCAGGAGACCCTTCCTAAGTCGATTTCAAACTGGTCCTTGCGCCTCCTAGCTCTTGACGCCACCCCGGTGATGAATCTCCTCGTGCCTCTGTCCACTTTCCTGTCTTGGAGAAATGTGGGGTGGGCACTTGCCCTTGTTGACTGAGCTGCCAGGAAGCTCAGGGTACTAGGGTGGCTTAGTAGAGGATGTGACTCTGTCCCCAGAGGAGGGGGCCTGCTTCCTCCTCCTCATTATCTTTTGTCCTTGAACATGAGCTGCTCCAACTCTTTCTAGAAGACAAGGGGATGGAAAGCAAGTGGGATGATGTAATTTCTTTACACCCCAACAGGCCTGCTGAGGACCACAAGGAATGGATTCTCAGGCCTCCCCCTTTGCCACCCTCCTCCCTCTCCCTGGGCCAGGTCCCCCCTGCTCCAGCCCCATCCCTTCCACCCCTGACTCTGTGGTCCCTCAAGGAAAGATGCAAACCTCAGCATCACCCTGCACCATGGCCTGCCACTGTCTGGCTGGAATTGTGGCTACCCTGCCCTCCCTTTTGCTCAGCCTCTGGATCAGTCTCCAAGCAGGGGCGTAACCACACCATGCCATGGCTGGGCCACTGCCGCCGGCCTCGGCACCTTCCTTCTTCAACAAGAAAAGGAATGGGATTTGAGGCTGTTGTTTCATTGGTGAAGCTGATAAGAACTTGCAGGCCAAAACCCACTCAAATGGGAAGGCTCAGGTCCCCAGAGGGTGGAGAAGGGACATTTCCTGGGTAGGTGTCAGGCCCCCTCAACCCATGCCAGCGGTATGTGAAGCAAGGTCTCATTCTGGACACAGTATTCTCTCCCCCAACTGAAGCAGGGCGTGCAGGATGCACTCCCCATCTCCGTGTCCTGCCAGTTCTCTCCCTCACTTAATCCCAACAGTAAGAGGATCAGCTTCTTCCCAGGGTGCCTCTGGACATCTCCAACTCAGAGATGGCCACCTAGAGATGGCTCCCCAGAGCTGTAGCCTCTTGGTATTGGCTTTCAATGTTTGCAGTTCCTGCTTGGCTTGTGAAAGCTGCTTCTCCCTTTCTGAATTCTCACAACCCCACTCTCCTGCCAGGCCTGGGGCCAGACAGTTTAGCTTGCTGGGGCCCAGTGCACCTTCCTCAGTTTACCTGGCCTTCCCTGCATCCTGCCTTGGTCAGGCGTTGGATTCTGTTCCACCCCCACTATCAGACCATGTGCTGGGTGCTGGACTGGGCACTTGCAGCCTGGGGAGAAGGTGATGGTGGGCCCCTGCTCCAAGGTACTCACAACCAAGAGGAGGAGTGGGAAGACAGAGAGCTGACAGGCCAGGCCAGCAGTGCGGGGATGGCTTTGAGGGCCCTGAGGACACTGTCCCAGGCTAGAGCAGGACTTTCTGGGAAGACTTCCTTTGGCTGGCTTGGCATTGCAAACCAAGGTGAGCTGGCACCGGGACCAATGGGCCACCTCGAAGTCCTGTGCAGGGGGTGAGGGGCAGTGGCAGGGAGGCAGCTTTGCAAGTATGGCCAAGGAATGGACTGGTGGGAACTCTAGTCACTGGGCCTCCAGGAGGCAGGGAGACCAGTTTTGAGGCCACTCAATAGACTGGGAGGGCAAGAACCACAGGCTCCTTGTGGAGCTCCCGGATCCAGCCTGTGGCCTCTCATTGCCCTCAGTTGAATGTCCTGTCCTGTGGGCAGCAACTTTCCACCCAGCACTGTCAGAGAATCAAGTGGTGTTAGCAGGCGGGCAGGATGGTCAGAGTGTTGGTCACACAGTGGCCCTAGATAAACTGTCTTCATCCACCCTCTTTTTTGGATGTGTCATGCTCTCCCATGCAGTCACTCTAATGAAGATATGAAGGGCAGGGACAGACATACCTGTAATTCAAGCAGAGCCCCCTTATACTAGGGGTCTGTTGTCCAGGACCCGACAGCCTTGAGGAAACCTCGTGAGTACAATGAGCACACAGTACAATCATGAGGCTGATGGCCTTTGCCATCATTGTGCAATTGCAGCTTCCATTGATCTGGGACTTGTGTGCCAGGCACTGCTGCTCACTCCACGTGTCCTCCCCACAGCCCTGTAAGGCAGGTGGCTTCATGGTCCCCAAGGCATGGAGGAGATTGAGTCTCAGGCGTCACGTCAGGAGGTCAAAGTCACCGAGCAGCATTGAGGCCATCTCAAAATGCATGCTCTGAGCTGCTGCTCTATGTGGAAATTACTGAGATTTATAATTTTACAAACACACTCAGCGGCCCTGGCTGGGCTTCTGCTCTGGTGGAGTTGCTGGGGTGTAGGGGAGAGTTTCCCAGGGAGCACAGGTGTATTTCGCTGAAGGCCACTGTTTCCTTGTTGACGTTCTGTCTGGATGATCTATCCA